CCCCTGACCCCTGTGACCCCGCCTGACCCCTGTGACCCCCCGATGTCCCCGTGTCCCCAGGAGAAGGAGATGGAGAAGCAGAAGCTGCTGTCGCAGCAGGCGCGGCTGCACACGCGGGGGGCGGCCGAGATGGTGCTGCAGATGATCAGCGCCTGCAAGGGTGAGGGGCCGAGTGACCACTGAGTGACCATGAGTGACCGCTGACCCCTGAGTGGTTTTGGGGGATCACAACGATTTTGGGGGGTTCGCAGAGATTTTGGGGGGGGTTCAGCGATGAGGGGGGGTTTAGGTGCTCCCCAGGGATTTTGGGGACCCCCAGGTTGGTTTGGGGGGGGGTTCCTAATTTGAGGACCCCCCCCCATTGCCCCAGAGCTGCCACATAGACCTGAGTGACCTGAGTGATCATGAGTGACCACTGAGTGAGCACTGATCACTGAGTGACCCGAGTGACCCTGAGTGACCACTGAGTGACCACTGAGTGACCTGAGTGACCCTGAGTGACCCCTGAATGACTGCTGAGTGACCCTGAGTGAACCCTCAGTGACCATGAGTGATCCTTTGGTGACCCCTGGTGTGACCCCCGTGTGACCCCTGGGTGACCCCTCGGTGACCCTGGGGTGACCCCTGGGTGACCCCTGGGGTGACCCCCGGGTGACCCCTGGGTGACCCCTCGGTGACCCCCGGTGTCCCCTCCCAGGCGAGCGGGGGGCCATGGTCTCCTCCACGCTCAAGTTGGGAATCTCCATCCTCAACGGGGGCAACGCCGACGTGCAGCAGGTGCGGCACCCCGTGTCCCCCGTATCCCCAATGTCCCCAGTGTGTCCCCAGTGTCCCCAGTGTCCCCAATGTCCCCCGTGTAGGCGAGCGGGGAGCCATGGTCTCCTCCACGCTCAAGTTGGGAATCTCCATCCTCAACGGGGGCAACGCCGACGTGCAGCAGGTGTGGCACCCCGTGTCCCCCGTGTCCCCAGTGTCCCCAATGTCCCCCGTGTCCCCAGTGTCCCCAATGTCCCCTCCTGTCCCCAATGTCCCCACAGAAGATGCTGGAGTACCTCAAGTCCAAGCGCGAGGTCGGGTTCTTCCAGAGCGTGCAGGCGCTGATGCAGACCTGCAGGTACGGACGGGGACGGGGGGACCCGGGGGGATCGGGGACCCCCGGGGGAACCGGGGACCCCGGGGGGATCGGGGACCCCCGGGGCAACTGGGGACCTCCATGGGAACTGGGGACCCCCGAGGGAACTGGGGACCTCCATGGGAACTGGGGACCCTGGGGGAATTGGGGACGCCTCGTGGGAATTGGGGACGCCTCGTGGGAATTGGGGTCACCCTGTGGGAATTGGGGACCCCTGTGGGAATTTGGGATCCCTGGGGGAATTGCGGACCCCCGGGGGAATTGGGGATCTCCATGGGAACTGGGGGACCCGGGGGGATCGGGGACCCCCGGGGGAACCGGGGACCCCGGGGACATCGGGGACCCTGTGGGAATTGGGGTCACCCTGTGGGAATTGGGGACCCCTGTGGGAATTGGGGACGCCTCGTGGGAATTGGGGTCACCCTGTGGGAATTTGGGATCCCTGGGGGAATTGCAGACCCCCGGGGGAATTGGGGACCCCCGAGGCAACTGGGGACCCCTGTGGGAATTTGGGATCCCTGGGGGAATTGCGGACCCCCGGGGGAATTGGGGATCTCCATGGGAACTGGGGACCCTGGGGGAATTGGGGACCCCTCGTGGGAACTGGGGACCCCCAAGGCAACTGGGGACCCCTGTGGGAATTGGGGATCCCTGATGGAACTGGGGACCCCTGGGGGAATTGGGGACGCCTCGTGGGAATTGGGGACCCCTGGGGGAATTGGGGACCCCCGGGGGAATCGGGGACCCCTGGGGGAGCTGGGGTCACCCAGTGGGAATTGGGGTCACTCTGAAGGAATTGAGGATGGACCCCCAGTGGCAATTGGAGTCACCCCATGGGAACTGGGGTCACCCCGGGGAAAATGGGGACCCCCATGGGAATTGGGGTCCTCCCGTGGGAAGTGGGGTCCCTGTGCCACCAGTGGGGTCCCCCCTTGGATATTGGGGTCCCCCAGAGCAGCAGGACCCCCCGGGCGGGGCTGTGCTGGTTTTGGGGTCCCCCTGAGCCCCGGTTTTGGGGTCCCCTCCCGCAGCGTGCTGGACCTGAACGCCTTCGAGCGGCAGAACAAGGCCGAGGGGCTGGGCATGGTCACCGAGGAGGGCACCAGTGAGTGGGGGGCCGGGACCCCCAGAGGGACCCCCGGGACCCCCGAGGGGCGGGGCAGGCTGGGACTGAGGGGGGGTTCCCCCGTTCTGCACCCCAAAACCCCCGCGCTGCTCTGCCCCAAGCCCCTGCTGAGATGTGGCTCCTGACCCTGAAACCCCCTGTCCCCACTGTCACCCTGCTTGTCCCCGTGCCACCTCAGATTGTCCCCGTGCCCCCCAGCATGTCCCTGTGCCACTCTGTGGTGTCCCTGTTATGCCAGGGTGTCCCCGTGCCACTCTCTGGTGTCCCTGTGCCATCTCGGGGTGTCCCTGTGCCACTCTCTGGTGTCCCTGTCACGCCAGGGTGTCCCCATGCCACTCTGTGGTGTCACCGTGCCACTCTCTGGTGTCCCTGTGCCATCTCGGGGTGTCCCTGTGCCACTCTCTGGTGTCCCTGTCACGCCAGGGTGTCCCCATGCCACTCTGTGGTGTCACCGTGCCACTCTCTGGTGTCCCTGTGCCATCTCGGGGTGTCCCTGTGCCATCTCAGGGTGTCCCCATGCCACCGGGGCGTGTCCCCGTGCCACCCGTGCCCCCTGGTGACCCCGCTGTCCCCGTGTCCCCCCCGTGTCCCCCCAGGGGAGAAGGTGATGTCGGACGATGAATTCACCCAGGACCTGTTCCGGCTGCTGCAGCTGCTCTGCGAGGGCCACAACAACGGTGGGGACACCTGGGGACACCTGGGGACACCTGGGGGACACGAGGGGACACGGCTCGGGGGGCTTTGTGTGGGGAGGAGGGGGCTCAGGGGTCCCTGAGGCAGGAGGGGCCGGGAAGACAGCAGTGACTTGGTGAGGGGGGGACACAGTGGGACACGAGGGGACCCAGGTGACAGCCAGGTGACAACCAGGTGACCCCGGGGCGTCCCTGTCCCCCCAGACTTCCAGAACTACCTGCGGACGCAGACGGGGAACACGACCACCATCAACATCATCATCTGCACCGTGGATTACCTGCTGCGCCTGCAGGTGACACACACCTGGCCCGGTGTCCCCGGTGTCCCCAGGGACTGCCCCCGGCCTCGTGTCCCTGTGCCACTGTCCCCAACGTCCCCAATGTCCCCAGGAGTCCATCAGTGACTTCTACTGGTACTACTCGGGCAAGGACGTCATCGACGAGCAGGGCAAGAGGAACTTCTCCAAGGCCATGGCCGTGGCCAAGCAGGTGTTCAACAGCCTGACCGAGTACATCCAGGTGAGACCCCCTGGGACCCCCAAACCCACCTGGGACCCCCCAAACCCACCTGAGACTTCCAAACCCACCTGGGACCCCCTCCCCAAACCCACCTGGGATCCCCAAACTGCTCCAAGACCCCCAAACCTCCCCATGGCCGTGGCCAAGCAGGTGCTCAACAACCTCCCCGAGTACATCCAGGTGGGACCCCTGAAGACACCTGGAGCCCCCAACCCCCGCAGTGCTCCCAGTGGCCCGGGGGCTCGCGGGGGTCCCTCCCAGTGTCCCGCTGTCCCCCAGGGCCCCTGTACTGGGAACCAGCAGAGCCTGGCCCACAGCCGCCTCTGGGACGCCGTCGTCGGCTTCCTGCACGTCTTCGCACACATGATGAAGAAGCTGGCCCAGGTGGGCACTGGTTGGGCACTGGTTGGGCACTGGTTGGGCACTGGGATGTACTGGGAGTTACTGGGAGGTAACTGGGAGCTCTGGCGTGCAGGACTCGTCCCAGCTAGGGCTACTGAAGGAGCTGCTGGACCTGCAGAAGGACATGGTGGTGATGCTGCTGTCCCTGCTTGAAGGTACCTGGGGAGTCACCTGGGGTGTCCCCAGGTTCCCCAGGGCGTCCCGTGACCACCCAAGGTGTCCCTTGACCACCCAAGGTGTCCCCTGATCCCAGGATGTCCCTTGACCACCCAAAGTGTCCAGTGACCACCCAAGGTGTCCCTTGACCACCCAGGTGTGCCCTGATCCCTGGATGTCCCTTGACCACCCAAGGTGTCCCCTGATCCCAAAATGTCCCTTGACACCCAAGGTGTCCGTTGACCACCCAAGGTCTCCCCTCATCCCAGGATGTCCCTTGACCACCCAAGGTGTCCCTTGACCACCCAAGGTGTCCACTGACCACCCAGTGTCCCTTGACACCCAAGTTGTCCCTTGACCACCCAGGTGTCCCTTGACCACTCAGGTGTCCCCTGATCCCAGGATGTCCCTTGACCACCCAAGGTGTCCCTTGACACTCAAGGTGTCCCTTGACCACCCAAGTTGTCCCTTGACCACGCAGGTGTCCCCTGACCACCCAAAGTGTCCACTGACCACCCAAGGTGTCCCTTGACCACCCAAGGTGTCCCTTGACACCAAAGTTGTCCCTTGACCACCCAAGTTGTCCCTTGACCACCCAAGGTGTCCATTGACCACCCAAGTTGTCCCTTGACCACCCAGGTGTCCCTTGACCACCCAGTGTCCCCTTGACCACCCAGGTGCCCCTTGACCACACAGGTGTTCCCTGATCACCCAAGGTGTCCCCAACCCCCCAGCCCCTCCCCACGTCTCTGGGGCCACCGGCAGAGCGGTGACGCCGCCGTGTCCCCACAGGGAACGTGGTGAACGGCACCATCGCCCGGCAGATGGTGGACATGCTGGTGGAGTCCTCCAGCAACGTCACCATGATCCTCAAGTTCTTCGACATGTTCCTGAAGCTGCGCGACATCGTCTCGTCCGACGCCTTCCGCCACTTCGTCACCGACCCGCGCGGGCTCATCTCCAAGAAGGACTTCCAGAAGGCCATGGACAGCCAGAAGCAGTACGAGCCCGACGAGATCCAGTTCCTGCTCTCCTGCTCCGAGGCCGACGAGAACGAGATGATCGACGTGGAGAGCTTCGCCCAGCGCTTCCAGGAGCCGGCGCGCGACATCGGCTTCAACGTGGCCGTGCTGCTGACCAACCTGTCGGAGCACGTGCCGCACGACCAGCGCCTCAAGACCTTCCTGGAGCAGGCCGAGAGCATCCTGGACTATTTCCGGCCGTTCCTGGGCCGAATCGAGATCATGGGGGCGGCGCGGCGCATCGAGCGCATCTACTTCGAGATCAGCGGCGCCAACAAGGCGCAGTGGGAGATGCCGCAGGTCAAGGAGTCCAAGCGCCAGTTCATCTTCGACGTGGTCAACGAGGGCGGCGAGGCCGAGAAGATGGAGCTCTTCGTCAACTTCTGCGAGGACACCATCTTCGAGATGCAGATCGCCTCGCGCATCTCCGAGGAGGAGGCGCCGCGCGACGAGGAGGAGGAGGAGGACGAGGACAGGGAGGAAGAGGAGCCGGCCGAGGCGCCGGCGCCGACGCTGCCGGGTTTCGGGGCGCTGCGGCGGCTGCTGGGGTCGCCCCAGACGTGGCGCCGCAGGATCAGGAGGCTGCGCAAGAAGTCGGGGCGCGAGCTGGCGTGGGAGGCGGGCGTGGGCGCGGGGCGCGCCACCCAGGTGTGCCCTGATCCCTGGATGTCCCTTGACCACCCAAGGTGTCCCTTGACCACCCAAGGTGTCCCCTCATCCCAGGATGTCCCTTGACCACCCAAGGTGTCCCTTGACCACCCAAGGTGTCCCCTCATCCCAGGATGTCCCTTGACCACCCAAGGTGTCCCTTGACCACCCAAGGTGTCCACTGACCACCCAGTGTCCTTGACCACCCAAGTTGTCCCTTGACCACCCAGGTGTCCCTTGACCACCCAGTGTCCCCTTGACCACCCAGGTGCCCCTTGACCACACAGGTGTTCCCTGATCACCCAAGGTGTCCCCAACCCCCCAGCCCCTCCCCACGTCTCTGGGGCCACCGGCAGAGCGGTGACGCCGCCGTGTCCCCGCAGGGAACGTGGTGAACGGCACCATCGCCCGGCAGATGGTGGACATGCTGGTGGAGTCCTCCAGCAACGTCACCATGATCCTCAAGTTCTTCGACATGTTCCTGAAGCTGCGCGACATCGTCTCGTCCGACGCCTTCCGCCACTTCGTCACCGACCCGCGCGGGCTCATCTCCAAGAAGGACTTCCAGAAGGCCATGGACAGCCAGAAGCAGTACGAGCCCGACGAGATCCAGTTCCTGCTCTCCTGCTCCGAGGCCGACGAGAACGAGATGATCGACGTGGAGAGCTTCGCCCAGCGCTTCCAGGAGCCGGCGCGCGACATCGGCTTCAACGTGGCCGTGCTGCTGACCAACCTGTCGGAGCACGTGCCGCACGACCAGCGCCTCAAGACCTTCCTGGAGCAGGCCGAGAGCATCCTGGACTATTTCCGGCCGTTCCTGGGCCGAATCGAGATCATGGGGGCGGCGCGGCGCATCGAGCGCATCTACTTCGAGATCAGCGGCGCCAACAAGGCGCAGTGGGAGATGCCGCAGGTCAAGGAGTCCAAGCGCCAGTTCATCTTCGACGTGGTCAACGAGGGCGGCGAGGCCGAGAAGATGGAGCTCTTCGTCAACTTCTGCGAGGACACCATCTTCGAGATGCAGATCGCCTCGCGCATCTCCGAGGAGGAGGCGCCGCGCGACGAGGAGGAGGAGGAGGACGAGGACAGGGAGGAAGAGGAGCCGGCCGAGGCGCCGGCGCCGACGCTGCCGGGTTTCGGGGCGCTGCGGCGGCTGCTGGGGTCGCCCCAGACGTGGCGCCGCAGGATCAGGAGGCTGCGCAAGAAGTCGGGGCGCGAGCTGGCGTGGGAGGCGGCCTGGGGGGGCCCGGGGGGGGTTTTGTGGGGGGGTTAGGGGGACCTGGGTCCCCACAGAGCTGCTGAGGGGAGGTGGGGACACGGCAGAGCCCGGGACTCCATCGGCACTGGGGGTGGGGATGAACACAGTGGGGGTTTGGGGACAATTTGGGGGTCCCCAGAGCCCGGTACCCCATTGTGGGGGAGTCCCCAGACCCTTTTGTCCTCACAGGGGGGTTTGGGGACACTTTGGGGACCCTGAGACCCCAATACCCCATAGAGGGGGGGTTGGATTCCCCATGTCCCCTCAGGGGGGTTTTGGGACACCCCCGTGACCTGTCGTGGGGGGGTCCCCAGACCCTTTTGTCCCCACCGAGGGGTCTGGAGCCCCCCGGTCCCCACAGAGGGGTCTGGAGCCCCCATGTCCCCCTCCCACAGAGGGGTCTGGAGCCCCCCTATCCCCTCTGAGGGGGTCTGGAGCCCCCCCCTGTCCCCACCGAGGGGTCTGGAGCCCCCCTATCCCCTCTGAGGGGTCTGGAGCCCCCCTACTCCCACAGAGGGGTCTGGAGCCCCCC